AGACTGATGGTCAAAATACGTTATCAATTTTGTATAGTCTCCTCAGACTAAAATATATTCTACTTCTCTCATTTTATAATAGAAATATAGTATTTACAAGCAAACTGTAGATTGAAAATTATAGTTGGATAATCTTGTTTTCAAAATTTTATTAGATATTTCATAAAGTCTTCTCTTTTACTAGTTTTAAAAATATATAACACTAGGGTGACTGCTAACCAGAAGGCTGGTGGTTCAAACCCACTAGCCACTCCTCAGAAGGAAGGTTGGGCAATCTACTTCTGTAGTGATACTGCCTTAGAAACCCAAGGAGGGGTCGCTATGAGTTGGCTCTGACTCAACAGCACATAACAACAACAACAACACACACCATGTCCATTTTCCAATGTAATGTTATAACGTTGCACACAGGAGAAGCATTCTTAGATTTGGAGTACAAAACAAACAAAAAAAAAGTTTTAACCTTTGAGGTACGTTTGTTTTTATTCTCCTTGTTGTAATATCTCATACTTATTTTTCTCATGAATACTTTTGGTAAAAGAATGTGTATGCCACTCATTCCCTGATAACTTGCAGCCATATTCTTCAGTCTTTGCAGGTCATGAAGTACGATAGGAAAGAACAAAGGCTCTGGAACTAGGATCCCAGATCCATAAATATTGCCTGTGCTGCAGTTTCCTCATTAGTAACATGGCAATAGTGACAGTCCCTACTTCATAGGGCTGTTATGAAAATTAAATGGAAAATACTTGTAAAACACTTCAGAGAGTACCTGGCATAGTATGAACATTCTGCTACTCACATTTTCTTATTACTGATGTTATATTTCATTTACAGAGACATTCTTGTTTCTTCCAGTGAAGTCAAATGAATCATGACTGATGATGGTGGGAAAAGTTGAGTAATCGTTCTGCGTCTAATGTTATATGTGTACACTTTTCTTAAATCCATAAGCTGTGATGATAAGGTAGACATATACTTCTATGAAAACAGCCTGGGAAAAGCCACTATCAAGAGAACCAGTAAGTCTAGATTTTCACACAAAATTTAAAATTCCTAAATGGATCCAAAAAATATCTTAAATAGATGGAAGGAAATAAGAGAGGAAGGCAAGAAGGAAGGAAGGAGAGAAGATTTTCCCCAGATGAGCAAATGCTAAAACTTAGGTTCCCTTGAAGCACATTTTCTTTATAAGTAATCTAAAGAATCGTTAAATATCTAGAGGACCCCAGAAACAAACATAAAGCATCCCATATATTCAACTCATTTCACTCCAGACCAAAAATAAATAAATAAATAAAGGAACAAATTACATGCCTAAAAGCACACACACACACAAAGCTAATTTGTAACAAAAAGTTTCATCTCACACAACAGCTATTAGCTCTCTGTTAACAAATGAATATTGACCCACCAGCCACTCCTCAGAAGGAAGGTTGGGCAATTCTACTTCCGTAGTGATACTCCCTCAGAAACCCAAGGAGGGGTCCCTATGAGTCGGGTCCCACTCGACAGCACATAACAACAACAACAACAACAACAGAGTAAAGATGCTAGTATAGAGTTAAGAATAAAATTTCAGCTATTCGAAAAGGTATGCATCAAGGTTGTACCTTTCACCATAATTATTCAATCTGTATGCTGGCAATTAATGCAGGAAGCTGAACTACATGAAGAACATGGCATCAGGGTTGGAGGAAGACTCATTAACAACATATAATATGCAGATGACAGAAACCTTGTTTGCCATAAGTGAAGATGATATGAAGTACTTATTGATGAAGATTAAAGACTACAGCCTTCGGTAGGGATTACGTATGACCATAATGAAAACAAAATATTCACAACTGGTTCAATAAGCAACATCATGATAAATGGAGAAAATACTAAGTTGTGAAGGATTTCATTTTACTTGGATCAACAATCAATGCTCATGAAAGCAGCAGTCAAGATATCAAATTATATATTGCTTTGGGCAAGTCCGCTACAAAAAAGCTTTTTAAAATCTTAAAAAGCAAAAATGTCACTTTGATGACTAAGGTGCACATGACACAATCCATGATATTTTCAATCATTTCATATGCATGTGAAAGCTGAGAATTAAAAAGGAAAATTGACACATTTGAATTACGGTATTGTTGAAGAATATTGAATATCCCGTAGACTTCCAAAAGAATGAACAAATCTATCTTGGAGCAAGTACAGCCAGAATGCTCCTTAGAAGCAAGGATGGCTACAATATTGCAAACTCTAGGAGTCCAGTGCTTATACAATAGTTAAGAATAACTCAGAGGCAAACAGATTAGAATTTTCAGCAAAGCTTTTATTATTTGCAACAAATAAGAAGGCAGGGAGGTATCTCTCAAACCCCTGTCTCCCTAAACAAAGTAGTTGGGGGAGTTTTAAAGCCTACAGGGAAACAGGGAGTTATATATATCCAAAGATTTTTGGGGAGGTGTCATGCATTATTTTTATGGGTCAGAGTTATAGCCTAACATTGAAATGGCCTTCTGAAATGGGTTTTTAAAAAAATAATAAAAAAAAAACCTCACTGCTATCGAGTAGATTTCAACTCATAGCGACCCCCTTTGGGTTTCGCAGGCAGTAAATCTTTATAGAAGTAGATTGCACAATCTTCTGTCTGTAAAGTGGAACTAGAGTTTGAACTGCCAACCTTCTGGTTGCAGTCAAATTCCTTAGGCAGTACACCACCAGAGCGCCTTTGAAATGGGTCTGTGTAGCACCAATGACATAATTCCAGTGATTTTGGGTTTCTTGGCATGAATCTTCATGTTCTGGGTTAAGCTAGAGGGCAGAGTTGTTTTTTTGCACATGCTCCTGAATCTGGATAGGAACAGATCAGAATTTATGGTTGAAAAATATCTATAGCAGAAGGGTAGTCATGAAGTTGGTCAGGGGTGTTCCTTTCTAGCTGACTAGTTAAGGCTTGTTTATCGCCCAGGTGCCCTTAGGCCCCCATCCATGTGATTAATGGAGGCTTTTCTAACCTAACTGGCTTCAACACTTTGTGTTGTTTACCTTCTCTCAGACCATTCCTGGTACCACTGCTGTTAGTTCAGGTCTTCCAAGAAGCAGACACCAAAATAGCTTTAGATATGCAAGAAAATACCTTTTAAACAAAAAAAGAAGGAAGCTGGGGAAGACAGAGATAGAATCCAGAATAAGATGCAGACCTGAACTTTATAAAGGAGAGGAGGAAGGAAAGATTATGGAGTGGTAAGCTTCTTAGACTGCAGTGCTATTCTCAGAAAGTTTTGGCCAGGTGACAAAGTGTTCTTGAACCCAACTCACCACTTGAGGAGTTCTCCATTTCACAGGAATGAACTTGCATTATCCCTCATACCCACCCTCATTCTGACAGCAGCTTGTGGGATGTACGGTCCTTGGTGCAAATGTCATTATGGACAAGTTATCAGGAGGTCCCAGTCCGTGGAGAAGGACATCATGCTTGGTAAAGCAGAGTGTCAATGAAAAAGAGGAAGACTCTCAATGAGATGGAATGACACAGCTGATGCAACAATGGGCTCAAGCATGCCTACCATTGTGAGAATGGGGCAGGACCAGACAACATTTTGCTCTGTTACACTTGGGTCAGTATGAGTCAGAGCTGACTCAGAGGCACCCAACAATAACAACAAAGAAGAAAATTTCAACTGTTTAGGTGTATTAAATTCTTAGAGCCCATGTAACAAATCCCTATAAACTCAGTGGCTTCAAACAACAAAAAGGTACTCTTTCATAGATCTGGAGGCCAGAAGTATGAAATCCAGATGTCTGTAGGGTCGAATGTCCTCCAGTGTCTCTAGGGGAGGTTTCCTCCTTGCATCTTTCACTTCTGGTAGCTTCTGGTCTGGCATCCCTTTGACTTGGGAATGAATAACTCCTATCTCTGTCTTCATTTTCACATAGCCTTCTCCTTATGTGTCTCTGTGTCTCAAACTTCTACTTTTCTTTTATATGGACATTTGTCATTGGATTTAAGGCTCTCCCTGAATCCAAGGTAATCACATTTCCATCTCAAATTGATTACATCTGCAAAGACCCCTTTTACAAATAAAGCCACATTCACAGGTTCAGGGGTTAGGGCTTGGATATATCTTTTTAGGGTGGCCACTATTCAGTCCAGTGCACTAGGGTTACCCAAATCTTTTTTGGGGATGAGTGTCTGGACCGGGCATGAGATTCTTTAGTAAATTTACTTTTTAGAGAAAGACCAATTGCCAACTGAAAAACTATGCTTAAAAATAATCATAGTCATAAATATAACAGTAACCAAAGAAAGAATAAGGAAAGAACTTTCAGTTCATTATCACTCAGATCCTGTTTTAGTTTGGATCCTCTAAGAAGCAGGATAGGATTAGAAGTGCAAGAGATTTATTTTAGAAATGCCTATAAAAGGAAAAGAGAGGTAGATGAAGAAGGCAAGGAGATTGTTGAAACCAGGATGCAGTTGTGATTTTTGTGAAGGACATGGAGCAAGGAGGACTAGGTAGGAAACTTCTCAGATTGAAGTGCATTTGTAAGAAAGTTTTCATCAGACCACTGAGGAAGCATTGAGCCAATGTTGTACAGTTGAGGAATCCTCTGTCTCCCAAGAGTGGACTAGCATCAGTGCTACCCCTGTCATAAGTCATTGACTCGGAAGAGCTCATAGGTAGCATAGCCTCAGCATGAGTGCAGAAGTGGACCCAGAAGGGCAACGGCTGAGCTCATCCATCAGTTATGTCCCTAAAGGTGGACAATCTGAGTGGTGTGTATGATGACCAACACAGTCTAACCCTTGCACCACGCAGATCCACTGCTCCGTGATATTTCAGGAGCACATCATTCACAATTCCTGTCATCCTTTCCTCTTGAGTGGAAATTTAGATGGGGGAACACTAAGAAATAAGGGCCTTTCTAAAAGCTGTCAGAGATACCCTCTGGTTCTCATACTTAGTCCTTAACCCTTGGTTTCTTATTCCTCTGCAGGGTGTCAGTAAAATTTAGAATTAACCTGGTAATTCCATTGTCTTTGTCCCCAAATGACTGAATTATCACAAATGGAAGAGCAGTCCATTCTACTAGAATATTTTTCCAGTCACCACTGATGAAATATTTAACATACAGCCACCACATTGTGTCAGAGACAACTTGTGCCCTAAATAATGCTCAGGTTGGAATCATTTTTGCCTGCCAGATTATGAATGAGTCAGTCTAAAACCCAACTTACCACCTGTTCTCTCAGACCATTCCTGGTCCAATTTTGTTAGTTCAGGTCTTCCAAGAAGCAGACACCAAAATAGCCTTAAATATGCAAGAGATTTCTGGGAGGAAAAACTTTTAAACAAAAAGAGAAAGAAGCTGGGGAAGACAGATAAAATCCAGAATAAGATGTAGACCTGAACTTTATAAAGGAGGCGAGGAAGGAAAGAAGAAGAATGGTAAGCTTCTTAGACTGCAATGCACTTCTAAGAGTTTTGGCCAGGTGACGAAGTGTTCTCAAACCAAACTCACCAGTTGGAGAGTTCCACATCTCACAGGAATGGATTTGCATTATCCCTCATACCCACCTCCCCATCCCCATTCTGAGAACAGCTCTTGGAATGTATGGCCCTTGGTGCAAATGTCATGGGTCCAGAAGAGCAGCAGCTGTAGCCAATAGTCAATTATGAGTTCAAAAGAAAGGACCTTAGCAGCACGTTTTCATAGCTGCCACAGGTCTTTTGCTGACCAGTTTATGTAAATTCCGTCCTCTAAAGATCTGCACGGACAACTCTTTGATGTCCCTAACTCCTAAATATCTGCTGCACAAAATCTCCTCTCTCTTCAAAATCCATCATTTTCATCCTTTCCTCATTCTCATCTGATATGACTTTGCTTTTAATCTCCCAATAAAATAGGCATAATCAAAAAGGAACTTCCCCATGCTATCACAATTGCACCTACCAACCTACCTAAATCTACCTCTACCAGTGTACAGGAATCCCTACACTTGACTAGATTCCAGCTCCTATTAGTT